GGGGCCGCTAACGGTCGATGGCGCGTTGTGCTGCCGTTTTGTATGGCGATACTGCTGATGGCACAGGAAAATGTTTAGTTAGCGGGGCACAGGCTTTGCTTGTCCCGCAGAAACGCTATTTCTCATCAGTTGGTGGGTGAGGGTCAACTGCCACTACCTCTTTGGTTTTTTTTATTAAAAACTCCTCCGTTGCTCACTTGGGATGACGCGCTGAGGAATCTGCTGTCATCTAGAACCTTGGCAATCAATTTAACTTAAAATCAACTCTGAAATTAAAAACCTTACTTCCACAACAGAGTCTGATGACACTAGCTAAAATATTGGCTGGGTATTGTAAGAATACTTTTGGCATAATAAAAAATACAGTTAACTATGAATTGAGGTAGCAAAAGGTCATTTCAGTTAATTCTTCTTACGATGCTCCCCTTGCAGCTCAATTTTAAGGAGACCTTGTCATGGTATGGCTGGGGAAAGATTAAAGGATTTGGGAAGCATCATAGGAGCCTAACCTACTTCTAACACACAAATATATATCAATGTAGGCAACTGAATGGTTTTAAACCATCTAGGTTGATAACTGAGTAACCAGAAAACAGATTCTCAGTGACTTACCCATACGCTGTGTTCATGCTTTGCTACACTGACCTCAGCTTCATCTTTTGGTCACTGACACGCACACATTTTTCCCCTAGTCCATCACTTTCCCACTGTCCTTTACAAAATAATGGTTAGTGTCAATACTTTTTTCGTGATTACACACAAGTCAATCTCTAAATGGTCTTAGTGCACTTCTTAAATATACATGGGTTAGTTTAAAAATGTCACTCTGCACCACAGTGGTCTTTTTTTTTAACCTTTGTGTAAAGTTTTGTGCATGGTTTCCCTCACCAGAGCAAGGTGGAGCGTTTCCACAAGGTGTCACAAGGGGATAAGGAGCAGCATGGCACCACGGTGGGTTCTGCCTGGCTCCAGGCATGACCCAGCACCAAACAGTGACAAAGAAGTTGGGACTCCAGGGGCAGAGTCTAGTTGGAGGCCTGTACCTAGCGGTGTCCCCCAGGGGTCAGTCCTCGGTCCAGTCCTGTTCAATTTATTCATCAATGACCTGGATGAAGGCACAGAGTGCTCCCTCAGCAAGTTTGCTGATGACACGAAACTGGGAGGAGTATCTGACAGCCCAGAGGGCTGCGCTGCCATCCAAAGGGACCTAGACAGACTGGATAACTGGGCAGTGAGAAATCTTATAAAATTCAACAAAGAAAAGTGCAAGGTTCTGCACTTAGGGAGGAATAACCCCAGACACCAGTACAGGCTGGAGACCGACCTTCTGGAGAGCAGCTCTGCAGAGAAGGACCTGGGCGTCATGGTGGATGATAAGTTGACCATGAGGCAGCAGTGTGTCCTCATGGCCAAGAAGGCCAATGGGAT